TTTTCTCTTTTGTACATTCAGATAATTCCAACTGGAGTCAGTTTTCTAGGTTAACTTAGAAGCTTGTGTTTCTTCCATTTTGAAATCAAATCCAACCCAAGTAGATAATTCTGTTTTACTCACCTCCACCATACATAGCAGCCAGCATAATGGAAGACACCCATGCAATCGCACTGTACGATGTGCCAAAGAAATCCTGGATTTCTTTGAAAAAGATTGCTATGCTTTTAGGGAAAGCATATGAAAATCCAATGGATATGAATGCTCCAAATACCACCGCCCATCCCCATCCACCATCTGGAGGGGTATAGGCTAGGCTTGTTTCTGCTGGAGGTGGCATGTCAAGGCTAAATTAAATCCCTGTAAGCACTTTTCTGGACACCCTGAAAAACAAAGTGCACACCCAGTGTCAGCTTGTATCACATTCCTTGGACACAATTAATTCACTCTAATAAACATTATCCTTTTTTTCTATTTCTAATTCTTATTGGTTTCTACATGCACTTCTCCCAACAGGCATTTCAGCAGCTATGAACTAAATCATACATCCTTGGGGAGTTGAGACTAAAAGAAAAAGTGTGAGGCCAAAAATACCAACCTACTCTAACATAAAGCTTAGGTAAAGGTAAAGGTTCCCCTTGACAATTTTTGTCCAGTCGTGTTCGACTCTAGGGGGCGGTGCTCATCCCCATTTCCAAGCCATAGAGTCAGCGTTTTTGTCCGAAGACAATCTTCCGTGGTCACATGGCCAGTGTGATTTAGACACGGAACTCTGTTACCTTCCCACCGAGGTGGCCCCTATTTATCTACTTGCATTTGCATGCTTTCGAACCACTAGATTGGCGGGAGCTGGGACAAGCGACGGGGGCTTACTCGGTCGCGTGGATTCGATCTTACGACTGCTTGGTCGTCTGACCCTGCAGCACAGGCTTCTGCGGTTTAGCCCGCAGCGCCACCACGTCCCTGCAACATAAAGCTTACTCTAACATAAATGTCTCAGGAGAACATTTCAATTTTTCAGAATGGAAGGAAAATATTCAGAATCTGGGAAACCACCAAACACTGGGACATGACCATTTGGGGAAGCTGGGAGAACTAGATTCAGCCTCAGATCCTGGAGTTCCCCATCACAACTGCAGAGATGAGTGCTGTGTCTTATCTGTGGACCTGCCCCAGGATAAAATTAAATTACAGGCTTCCATATGCAGGATGAAACAGTAACAATCTGGTAAAGGTTTTCCCTGGACACAATCCAAATGCTGGTACTAAAGCCATAAATGGTCTAAGCCTTGGATATCTGAACTGTAGACTACCCAACTGTTAAGATTCTCACTGGAGGCCAGGATGTATCCACCTGGAGAAAGAGTACCTTCATGGAAGTGGCAAGCCACTGGTAATGGAGCGGCTAAAAATATGGTAAATAAATAAAATAAATAAACCATCTATGGCAGTTCTCTCACCTTAATGTATATTACTTCCAGCTTTCCATGTAAAAACTGTGTTTTGTGGCACAGCTGTTTAGGTGAAGAGGGACTTGGGAGCTTCCAGCTTTCCATGTAAAAACTGTGTTTTATTATCCACACAAACTATCCTGCTGTTTTAATCTGGCACAACTGTTTAGGTGAAGAGGGACTTGGGAGTCCCCACCAAGCCAGACAACCTTGAGCCATCCTACCTACTTCACAGGGTTGTTATGAAAAGAAGAAGAGAACAATCATGTCCTGTACCTAAAGGTCACTGAAGAAACAGTGGGATATAAATGTAACTAACAAATATGTACATTAAATCCAGTGATGGACATTGATGGATAGAACAGCTTCCATCAGTAGATTCGGGAGCAGGGAAATATCCGTTCACCATAGCATATGCCCAGAGATCCCTAAAAAGCTGTTGCAGAGGGATGGGAAACCCTCTGGAGCCGGTCTTCATGGGATGCCAAGGGCTACAGTGGGGACAGGAAGGCCAAAAAGGTCTGTCACACTGATACTGCAACACCAGCACAATGTTGAATTGAGATCTGGACTTTAAAGAATCTAGCTCAAGTGCTGTTTGTCTTGCTTTCTATTATTACTGGGGGTGGGGGCAAAGGAGAATGATCCATCTCAACAATTATGTCTAATAGAAAGGATTTTTAAGATATACAAAAGGCAAGCAGAATAAGTAGCCATAATCCTATGAGTTATGCCCACAAGCATGAAACAAAGAGGGTACGTTTGGCCGCAAATTGAGTCAAGTTAAAGAGACAGCATAAATGCACTCTGCCACATACTGTACCATGTTGTACTATTCAATGTGTAACAGATAATGTCCACACTGACTACTTAACTTGGAACAACTTGGCACCAAAAGTCATGATGTTTGCCTCAAAGTGGGGTAAAATGAAAATAGGATTTTAGTCAGTAAATTAAATGCATACAGTATTTCACTGATGCTGACTGTCATATTTTCTGCACCTCAACTACCCTCACATTTCAATACATGCTAGAGTGTGCTAGATCTTTCCTGACAGCCTCCTGATTCGTTTTTTCTGTTTTTTTTTTTACTATATCGCTTTCCACAACCTTTAATTAACTTCAGGGGCAGTTATTTCTTAAGACCCAAAGGCCATGTTAAAACCAGTATTCAGTCTTTAGGCAACCACTCTCAAACCAAAGATGGTGGACTAAAGACGTAAATCAAGGCAGAACTCTGATACATCCAATTCAGGTTTTCTCATGGGCTGCTTCATTGGTTTGGATTTTTTTAATGCCGTCAACTAAAGGTTTGTGCAAACCTAACCAAAGAAAGGCCAAACATTATTCTACTTTTATTTTAAATATTCATGTTCAGCGAAGCCACCCCCACCCCCATATGTTTTGCAAAAAATAAAACAGAAACATATTTTCTCAATATAGTATTTACCTACATCTTATTTATGGTTTTCAGGTACAACTGAGAAGTGATGCTTCTAACAGCATTGACACAGTTGGATTTCTCTATGTCCCAGGTACATCCTAGGACAGACACCTCTTTTGACTACAGTTTCCAGATCCTACCAGTTAGCATGCCTCATGGATTCTGGGAATTGCAGTCCATAAAAAGGATCCTTTGCATTCTCTGGTTGAACAGGCACCATTGTTTTGGGGAACGTTCATACACAGAGATGACACTTATATCATGTCCTTGCCTGTGACTGAATTTTAAAAGGACTTCAGATCCCCCACTTGTAACCCTCCCTTGTTTTTCCCGCAATCTCATCCATCTTTTTCCTTATTACAGAAAACCCACTAACAGAAGACAGAATCACTGCTTCTTACCTGCTAAGCTATGGGCTAGGAATTTCTGTTCCCTATTTGGAATGCAAATTCATACAGAAATATATGGTTTATATAGCTATATTTCGATATTTGACACATTAAGTCTACACAGATGTGTGTGTGCATGCACACATGCTTGCATATGAGTCCATATTATGTGCCATCAAGTTGCATCCAATTTATGGCAACCTTATTAATTCATATAAAATATTAATATTAATAAAAATATTAAAATATTAAAAGGACCCAAGGCAGCGTAGTAGGGCTTTCAAGGTATATGAGATATTTAAGGGATTTTTTTTCTTTTGCACCCTCAAGCATGTGCATTTTTGAACCCAGGTCTCTTGAGTCCTAATCCTTCCTTCTATCCCACTAAACCGTACTGGCTCTCTCTTAAAAATCAAAGGATACAGGGAGAAACAGTCTCAGGATGTCTGGGGTAAATAACAATACATTGTGTCTTTATTAAGTGGTGAAATGCTTTGAAAACATTCTTGCTTAACGTGTTTCGGCAGGGCCAAATACTGTACATATAAGGGCCCTTTACATCCATGGAAGCCATCCAGTGGTGCATTTCTGCTGCTGGATAGGGGAGAGGAAGAGACCTTTGCAGAACTTCCATCATCTTTGGTACTACACCCTGTAAAGCTATTCTGGGGGCCCTCCAGAAGACTGGAGAAGGTGGCACTGAGGGCTAGGGAGAGGAATCAGGCAAAGATAATTTCTCCTTTTATTTATTCACTTTTCCTTGTTCCCTCATGAAACTCATGATGGTACACAAAAGCTTCCCCTTAAGTCTCCCATCCAAGCACTGATTATATCCACAGCTGTTTAGCTTAGGCATCATAGGCTCTTCAAGCCATAGGGCTCTGTTTAGGGAATGATCCTATCACTGGTTGGGGGGAAAGCTAGATACTCCCCAGCTGATTTAGAAAGTGGCACTCTCTAAGTCTTAAGACTCCTACTGCAGAGCACCTTGATTGCACAGATAACAGACATATGCTGAGAAGCTGTACCTGTCGGATGAGATGCGTTGCACAATACATCACACTATCACACCCCTGAAAAACTATCCTGGCCAGGCCCAAACTATAATTTTCCAGTGCTGATCCCGCCTGGATGCCCCGGGGAGGGGGAGCGGGTGCAAAAAGCAGTATACTGTACTGCTGCAGACATCAGCTACCCGCACTTCGTATCTCGGGTGTATGATTATTTACTCTCCGATATCTCACTGTCAAAGGAAATAGCGCCTGTTGTAAAAGTGGCTGCCTGCCACCAACATTGGAACCTTAAGTTTCTGCATTGGAAACCCAGGCGACACCACTGCTTCTTGGGTGAGGGGATTAAGCAAGCTGGGCAGGGCAGCGACCCCTGAAAGCATCTGGTGCCCTATTTGGGGTTAAAACGCCCTCCCTCTCTCCCCCTCTTTCGGAAGACGAGCGGCCTCGGAGGATATTTCGGCTCCTTCTTCGGACGTTCCAGCTGCATACGAGGAGAGCGCACACGCACCCGAACAGACGCGTGCCCCGTGGCACCCCCGCGCTCCCTGAACTGTCCACGTCCCCAAAACCTCAGGGGCTGGCCCCTCTTTCCCGGCCTCCCTCCTCCAGCGCCTGCCAAAGTTTGGCGCGCTTTTCGCGCCCCCGAGCAGCCGCGGGGCGGTTCGTGCGCTCGCCAAGAGCTGCCCGGCGGGACCGTCCTTACCTGCGCGCTCCGGAGTTGGTGCCGCCGCCGCCGCCGCGCGTTGCTCTCGAGGCCTTCGGCGCTGAGGGGGTGGGAGGGGAAGAAGCGGCCACAGGGAGGGGCCAGGCCGAGGCGGGAAGGCTGGCTGGGGCGGAGGGAAGGCCCGGAGCCAAGGAGGCAAGAGACGTGGCTTTTTCAAGTCAAGCCCCTTTGCCTCCGGTTTGGGCCCGTCGAGCAGCGTCGCCGTCGGGGCCCGCCTCAGCGAAGGCGCCGGTTTCCCGTTTCCTTTGAAGGTGCTCACCTCACGCTTGTGCCCGGACCGGTTCAACTTAGCCTCGGGTTTGGGGCGCCGTGGGGGGGAGGAGGGGAGAGACTTGTGCTTATAGAAAGGCAGACGTGAACCTGTCTTCTTTCCAGAAATGCGCTTTGCCTTTGGCTTCATTCCTTACGCGGTGGCTAGTTCCGCTTTGGCGCCACCGAAGCCGTGACCTTTCGGTCTATTTATTGATATGTGAGTGTCAATAGATATCGTAACAGGGAAATAAAATAAAATGCACAGAAGTGTAGGAATAGACAAGAAGACCCTGGCATTCAAAAGGGGATGCAGAGCTGGTCAGTGAGAACCAACAGTCCACGAGCAGGGGCCTGGAGAACAACAGGAAATCCTAGGTTTTCCTCTCCTGGGTTTGAGAGGAGCTTAGCTCTAGGACAGGAGACAGAAACCAAACCTCAGGTGAACCTCAGGTACCCAGCTGCCACCCACATGCCTCCAGCATCCTTTATCTCCTGGGCATGCCGCTCCCTTTCACCAGTGTTGAAAAATAGGATCAAGGATGTGGCACAGGCAGGCCAGCAAGAGGGCTCACAGGCAGAGGTCATCTTCATCCTCCTGTCAGGGCTCCGGTCACACTCCCAATAAAAGACAGATATATGACCAGTCCTGGTGTTGACCCTGTGGTTAATCTGTTGAACTGTAATGTCTAGTCTGCATCGGCATGCACACCCTTCCAAATGATACTCATAGATGAATCCAGGTGGGGGAAAAAATTCTTAAAAACATACTTGGCAATGTAACAAGGAGATATTTGGGAAATAAGGAAGGGGAGATTCAGTCTTAATAAGTGTATTGTAGCTTGAAATAGGCTACTGATGCTGATTCAATAGGTATGTTTTGTTATTGCTGCCTTGTCGTGGTGAAGGGGCTTGAGTAATTCAGAGAAGCTATGGGCTATGCCGTGCAGGGACACCCAAGACGGACAGGTCATAGCGGAGAGTTCTGACTAAACGCGATCCACCTGGACCGGGTAGGTGGGGCTTGTCAGCCATGGAAGGCAGCCCATCTAGGAGAAGGAAAGCTCCAATTTCAAACCTCCACTGCCTTGTGGCTATATCCATGGATGGAAAAAGCTTCAGGAGTAAACCTCAAGGCAAAATCTGGAGCCGGAGTCCCAGAGGCAGTTAGTGTTGTTCTGGCAACTCCTGTGACGTCGCTGGAACCAGTTGTATTGGCTCTTGCCTTTCCATTGGACTATTTCAGCGACGTGGAGAGGGGGGAATTTGCTGCTTGGGTAACCGCCTATCCTCCATATTATTCTACCCAGGCTTCATGCTCTGGAGAGGACACTCATACACAGCGTGTTACCATGGTCTTTCAAGACTGAAGGATGCCTAAGAGGAAACCCTCCAGAGAGCTTTAAGCACAGTGGGGCAGTATATAAGCAGCACTCTTTGCTTCTCAAGGGTAAATCAGCATTTATGTAAAGCCTATCAATTTGATGGCTTTAGTTTGGTTTGGATTAATAGTTGCGTTCAGGCCACAGTGAGCAACATACATCATTTTGCATTCTACCAGTTAAGCTGAGGTCTTCATACAGACAATGATAAAATAACCACATGAGAAGACCTTCCCCCTACATTGGCTCCTTCCACAAGTGGAAAAGTCTTATTTTTTCATGCATTATTTCCTCCAAAAAGTCAGTTTCACCTCCAGATGAAGTGATACTCAGTAGTCAAAATAACTAGACAGCTTAACTGTTCTGACCCGTTACAAGTGCAGTGGCATCACTTGAACTCAGAACCCAGGTGAATCATCTTATCGGGTCAGCCGGGGGGCTCCAAACTATCATGCAACAGAAGTCTTGCTTTAAGAAGCTTAACTTTTCCGCTCAGTAGCAGTGAGCAAGAACCTTCCTGGAAGAAGCAAACTGCTGAAAATAGAAGCTCCACTTCTACAGCTGTGAAATATTTTTGCTTTGGTCGCACGTGCGCCCCGCACAGTATCAGTTGCATTCTAAACCAAGCACAGATCTCATCAGCAGTGGAGGCTTTTCTGAGGAGGGAATTTAGAAGCTCAGCTCCCAAGAATTGGGAGGGGGGGAGGAGAATATGCTGGCAGGAAGAGATGTAGCCACTGATGCTACAAAGTTACTAAAATAGTAGCAAATCTGAAGCAGTGGAAGCCCCTGCATTACCTGGAATTCTTTCCCTTTTCTTTTTATATATAATATATATAATATATATAATTATTACTACTAATCTTCACAATAATCTTACCAATTTTTTTCTAAGCCTTTAAAATGTCTTATATCTTCTTTCTTATAATTTTAACCAATTCTTATAATTTTAACCAATTCATATTCTCATCTCTCATCCAATTGTACAAAGGTTTCCTTTTTTTTCTAGCCTCATCTATTTCTTTGTATTTTAATATTTCAGTTAAAATATCCATCTCTGCTGCTTCTAAAAAGATTTCTGTTAACTCTTGGATTGTTGGAGGTTCCTCTTTTTTCCAGTACTTGGCATATAAAATTCTTGCTGCTGTCATTACATGTATGATCAAATATCTTGTTTCTTTTTCTATCAAGTCTGGAATTATATTCAACAAAAACAGTTTAGGTTCATATGGAATTATAGAGGATAACATTTTTTGTAGAATCTCATGGATAATTTCCAAAAGCTCTTCACTTTCCTACAAGTGCACCACATATGATAAAAACTACTTTCTTTTGATTTGCATTTCCAACATTTGTTAGAGGTACTTTGGTGTATTTTTGACAATTTTCAAGGTGTCATATACCATATAGAACATCTTATATATTTTTCTTTATAATTAACTACTTTTGTTAACTTAATATTGTCTCTCCATACAGTACTGTATTTGTGACCATGACTTCACTGTAGCCAATGATGCTACAAAGTTACTAAAATAGTAACAAATTTGAAACAAAATGGAAGCATTAAAGTTTGTGTTTGAGATTTTTTTTAATGTTTCCTATATTGCTGTGTTTTTATTATGTATGTAAGCCGCCCCAAGTAGACTTTGTCTAGGGGGGCAGGGTAAAAGTCTAATAATAAATAAATAATAAATAAGCCCCTGCATTGACTGGACTCCCTTCCCTTTTCTCAGGTGTGGGAGATGATTCACATGAGACAAGCAGTCCATAATGTCTGCCTATAAACATATCTGACCATTTATCTGTGATGATTCTCAGTCATCCAGGTGAGGATATTTGGAAGTTGAGTCATGACAACTGGATTTCTTTCCTGTTAAGCTGAAATGTTTCGCTACTCATCCAAGTAGCTTCTTTAGTCTTTTCTAGTCTTGGTGAGGAGGTTCTGTTGTCTGAAGAAGCTACTTGGATGAGTAGCGAAATGCTTCAATCTAATAGGAAAGAAGTCCAGCTGCCATGACTCAGCTTCCAGATGCCTGACCATTGTAATGCACACACCACAGCATGTAAAAACACACACACTTTCTCATCTATACAGTTGTGTGTATTGGATCTGCGGTTTCTTTTCCCCGTAGATCTGGAATCACTCAGCCCTTGTCAAGGAGGCACAGTGGGGAATTGAACTCCCAACCTCTGGCTCAACATTCACGTACCTAAACCACTGAGCTATCCAGCAGTTTATTATTATATCTGCTAGCCAGTTTCTATGTAATCTGGGTTCTTCCAGTTTCAGTTTCAACACCTCCTCCCCACTCATACTCTCCCTTTTCTCCACCCCTTGTCTTCAGTGTGGAAGAGATTGTAACTCTCGAATTGGCCTCTTCAGCCACACTAGACGCTGTTCCAAGTCCTCCATACAGAGCACGCTACCATAGTCTTTCGAGACTGAAGGATGCCTACTGTCTCTTCCCCTCTCTTGATGTTGCCTTTCATAGCCTCTGCACAGCTCCACCAGCAGGTGGCTCTTTGGCCTTCTAAAAATAGATGTATCCCACAAACCAGCTGCAAAACAACAAAAAATTCCCAAGCAAGAGAAGATAAATCTCCAGTAACGTCAAATAGATATGTAAAACAAACCCGGATCGATGGGTGACAAAACCACCTCTTGAACAGAAGCAAACAGCATGTGTGGATGAGCCCTATTATTGTTCCACTAATTCTGTTTCACCTATTCCTCATTTTCATCCTTGCAATCCTGCAGGCAAAGCTTCTGCAAATTTATTCAGAAGTAATTCTCACTTTTTTCAGTGGGACGTACTCCTGAGCAGAAACACAGAGTGTTGCAGCTTTTGTTTCTCATTCATTCCCATCAATCTTCTTCTTCCTCACTTAGACTGGAAGCCTAACCAGCTATGAGCCCTTTAAGCCAACATTAGACCATCTAAAGCTGTGCTTAATCCAAACCCTTACTTTCCCTTTGTTGTGTCTCCTTGCCAGCAGATCTTTAAACAACAGACAGCAGATCTTTAGACGACAAAACTGTTTCGCCAGCAGGCTGCACTGTCAGGAAATCTCTGAGATCAGCCAGCAGAAGAGGGGTCTGCTTGCAAAAGGAATTTCTGTCGTCAGAAGAGGCTTGTTCCTAATCCAACTCACCACTCCCAGCCAATGTATCTTTGAATTAAGAGCTACAACATTACAGAAATGTCTAGGGATCAGATTTTCAGAATTCAAGGACCCCCCAGTCCCATCATTCAGTGGGAACCCTGTCCCAGGGCCAAATCACGAGACTGAGAGCCCTCAAACCAACAGGAGGTAAAGCAGCCTTTTTGACAACTCCAATGGTGCAGCAGGGCGCTTCTCTAATGATTCAAAGAAGCAGTGCAGGAAAGGCATACAGATGGAGGGACTGCTCTACCTCTTGCCAGTTTCAGGGCTTCCAGCCACACAATTTGGCCTGAACGGTCCTTGGATTCTGAAAATCCCATGCCTAGAAATGTCTTCTGTGGCTAGAAATCTTTTTCAGCCAGCTAACTCTTGCACATAATAAATTCGTTATAAATATTATAGCCTCATGGCTACTGATTATTATTTCTTGCATGGAATTTGAGCCCTTCAAACCTCTGATCAAAGTCCAATTAATTATAGATGCTTACGTTTCTTCTGACTATGAAATACATACACACAAACATTTTGCAAACTTTATAACTTATATTAGTCAATATTTCATTAAAAAGTGAGCTACTCCTTAGGCTGTTCTCTACCAGTTGTCCCACAAACATA